AAAAATTCGATCCAGCACTTTTTTTACCCTCAAAAAAAAAAAAAAAAAAAAAAAAAAAAAAAACCTGTTTTATTTACGAAAAACAGAAAAGCCTGCCAATGAAAGCTAGCTAGAAAACCGGAGAAAATAAAATAAATACTATATGAGTCTTAACTAAATTTTACATGCGATATATCTTGCATATTTTTTCTTTTTTTTAAGAATTTTTAAAGCATAAAAATATAATATCGTATTTTTATTTATTCTGTGTTAAATTATTTTTTTCAAAAAGATATAGTTGAATTAAATTGACATAAATTTTAAGTCTAATATAGTTTTGATATAAGATCATCTTCAATATAAGGGTCTTCTTTTGGGATTCTTTAGCCCTGTTTCCTGATTACCTTTTCCCTGTTTATTTGTTTTTTCTTGTAATTTCTCTAGGGCTATGCAAAGGCTTGTTTGCATAGAAACTTGCCATTACCCTCTATTTCTTGGCCACTACTACTCTTTCCTATTCTTCTTAAAGAGAAAATTTGGCTATAATATTAAAAAAGTTACCTTGTTAATTGTTATTGTCAGGTTATAATCACATTAGAATTTGAGGGAAAAAACAATTTATAAATAAAATTTGATAAAAATATTTATTATTTGTAATTTTGTAATTGTATTCTATGAGTTACATATTTTTTTTCAAGCCCTATCATTTTTTTTTTATCAATTTCTTTCAAGAAATCTTTTGTTTGTTTGTTTTGAAATCTTTTTTCTTTTCTTTTATTTTATTCAATGCATCATACTTCTTACTTTTGACCAAATATATCGGAGATGACAAGTTGCAGGGTCATTGTGTGTGCCGTTTCAGAAACAAAATACATCAATTACCGGCCATTATGATGTTCTATAACTTACACAATAATTCAATAATTTCTTATGAATTTTTGGTTTTTTTTTTTAGAGCTTATCAAATGTACGTTATATCTGAACACGGCTTTCTTATAACCCTTCATTTATGATTGACCCAATAAAATATTAAAAAGTATATATATACGCGCTT